TGACTGGACAGCAGCTGATTTGGTTTGGTATGGCTCCTAGTCACACCCTTCTGGGCTTGGAATTGAATTCCTCCCATGGCTACCAGCCAAAGGACAGGCCTATAATGTAAGAACATTTACAACATGGAGGTACACTCCTTAGAACAATCAACCTTGGGAGATCAGAAGGGCAGTACTTGTACAGGGAGATAGCTCTGAAGGCAGGAACTCATAAGAAAGAAGGACACAGAACAGGTAACCACAGGGAGGAACTGGGACGAGTGCTGTTACATTACGGGGATTGCAACCAAATGTCATGAAACAAACTGTATGAACCGTTGCATGGAAAATGAAATTGCTCTGTAAACTTTCACCCAAATCACTCATATTCTTAAAGATAATCCATCTTCTTTCTATTAATGTGGCCACAAAACACTTTTGCAACATTTTCCTTTATCCAGTATGTATTATTTGCATGTGCCTTAAAAAATTATATTTGTATGCAGGGCCTATCTTACAAATTGCTTTTTAAGAACTAATAATTCTTTTACTTTAAAATGATAAATACCAGGCATTTAACTATTTGCAATGAATTTTGTTTTTTAGACAAAGGCACTGTCCATCACAATAATCAACTTTTTGTGTTTATTTCAACTGGATAATCGTTAAAAAAAAAAAAGGTGAGAAGGTATTTACACATTCCTTTCCATTCAAGAAATTTTTGCTACAAATGTGTTTCAACCAAAGTTTTTTTTTTTTTAAAAAAACAAACTATTCAGCTTTGATGCCATCTATAATTCTAATAGTAAATATCTGCAATTCTATTTTAGCTCCTGTGCCGAAATTCAAGAAAATCTAGCATAAATGACTAACAATTCATCGTGTATTCAACCATCCATGATCTCTTCCATGGCTTTGCCAATTATTTATACCTTCCTTTGCATCGTGGGTCTCTTTGGAAACTCTCTCTCTCAATGGGTATTTTTAATGAAGATAAACAAGAAAACCTCAACCCACATCTACCTAGTACATCTTGTGACTGCAAACTTACTTGTGTGCAGCACCATGCCTTTCATGGTTATGTATTTCCTGAAAAGTTTTCAATGGGAATACCAATCTGCACAATGCAGGGTGGTTAATTTCCTGGGGACCTTAGCCATGCATGTAAGTATGTTTGTCAGCCTCTTAATTTTAAGTTGGATTGCCATAAGCCGCTACGCTACTTTAATGAAAATGGATTCTACACAAGAGGCTACTTCATGCTACGAGAAAATATTTTATGGCCATTTACTGAAAAAATTTCGCCAGCCCGATTTTGCCAGAAAACTATGCATTTACATATGGGGAGTTGTACTGGTTGTAATTCTTCCAGTTAGTATATACTACTCAGTTGTGGAGGCTACAGAAGGAGAAGAAGACCTGTGCTATAATCAACAGATAGAACTAGGAGCTATGATCTCTCAGATTGCAAGTCTCATTGGAACCACATTTATTGGGTTGTCATTTTTAGTAGTACTAATGTCCTACTACTCTTTTGTCAGCTATCTGAGAAAAATAAGGACTTGTATATCTATTACTGGGAAAGATCGGATTTACAGTTCTGTGAAGAGGCATCTTTTGGTCATCCAAATTCTACTGATAATTTGCTTCCTTCCATATAGTATTTTTAAGCCCATATTTTATGTTCTACACCAAAGAGAGAACTGTCAGCAATTGAATTATTTAATAGAAATAAAAAACATCCTCACTTGTCTTGCTTCAGCCAGAAGTAGCACAGACCCCATTGTATTTCTTTTATTAGATAAAAAATTTAAGAAGACACTGTATAATCTATTTACAAGATCTGATTCACCACATATGCAACCATATGGTTGACTTCTGAATGGAAAAAAACCACAAAACAGAAAAGTGTTCATGTAGCTATTAGGAACACTAAACTAAAATGTCATAGTTGGGTTGATAGCATGCTCTGAGAAAACCTCTTTGGTTTTAAAATTATATATATATATTCATAAAAATTAATAGTTCTATTCTTACTGAAAGTTGAGATGACAGACTTTGAGACAAAAGTCAAGTGTATTGAAAGGATCCCATTGTACTGCATATGAAACCAACAGACCATTTTCTCTTCTAAGCTCAAGTGTGGATGCTTTGATTCAGAAAACATTTCACCACTGTAGAATAAAAAAGCAAGTGGTTGATGACTTCTCTACTTTTTAGTGTTTAGAATATAAGGGCCTATCCCTGGCAAGTGTTTTGTTGGTAAAGTTTTCAATACTTTAAAAATGAGGGAAAGAAAAAAAAATTCTCACACTCAGATACAACTATTGGTCTTTTTGCACCTGGAACACAGGAGAGTGAAGAAAACCAAAACTAATGGAAGCAATTGGTCCAAAGAACTACAGTCCATGTGAATCACTGCATCCTCTAGCCTGAGATCCAAAGAACTAGATGGTACCCAGCTACCACTACTGACAGTTCTGAACAAGGACACAATAGAAGATCCTAGTTAGAATGGGAGAAAAATGTGTAACAAAATTCATTCAAAAAAAGACCAGACTTACTGGACTGACACAGAATGGAGAAATCCTCAAGACTACTGCCCTAAAACCCTGGAACTGAAGCCACTCCTGGAGGGTCACTATCAACCAAATAGAAATAATAACATGTGGGGAATGTGCTCCTTGGGACCATCACTAGAGCATAAGGGCAATATTTACCCAAAAACAAAGATAAGAAGCAAGGAAACCAAACAATGGATGGGGGAACACATGGGAAATGCCAAATGCCAAAACATCATGCAGATTTCAACTAATGTCATGGTACAATTTGTGTATTAACTGTGGAAGACAAAACTAATTTGCTGTGTAAATTTTCACTAAAGTACAATAAAATGTTCAAAAAAAATTAAACACATTATAAAAGTAAACCATTGTGTTTATCATTTCAAAATGCAAGAATCCAAAACACCAGGTCATGAAAGCAGCTTTGTCTGATGTTGAATCACACAGTTAGATTTCAATCTGCATTTTAATATATATCAGGTCCTCAGCAAGCATGATAACCAAACCAAAGAGTCATAGTGACCCCCACCCCTGTCTTCCTTCTATGGAATGGCTGGTGAGTTTGAACCACCTACCTTCTGGTTAGCAGTCAAATGCTTTAGACACTGCACCACCAGAGTTCCTTAGCAAGCATGATAGATGGCATAATTGTTGATAAAGCAAGCTTTTGTTAGCATAACTACCTAAAAAGAAATCCACTAATGCATGCAATGCACTTAGTATGGTACCTAATACATAGAAAGCATGTTGGCTATTGCTTTTATTATTATGGGAAGATGTTTAATTTGTTCTAACATGACTATACTAAATACTATGTGAAATAAGCTTTCTAATATAAACTTTAACAATATAGTGTTCTAAATTGTTAATTAAAATGATGTCTTCATTAGAAAAAAGAAATTCCCATACTTACACCCTGTTTGGATGCATGGATAATGTAGTATAAAATACAAAGTTTTATAAAACTTATCGGGCTTATGTTACTGGGATAGAAACCAAACAACCCACTGCCATAGAGTCAATTCCGACTCACTGACCCCATAGGGTTTCCAGAGTTGTAAATTTTTATGGAAGAAGACTGCCTCCTCTTCCTCCTGTGGAGCAGCTGGTGGGTGTAAACCCCCAACCTTCTAGTTAACAGTCCAGTGCTTTAGGCACTATAACACGAGAGCTTCTTATACTGGGATTAAAAAAAAAAAAAAA